GCTAAGCCCAGGATTTGTTTGGGACCATAAAAATGATTTGCCGAATCTCCCCATGGGTTTTCAAAATCAGCATCCAAAAGTTTCATGGCACGGCCTGGGTGAACCAACTGGCTAGAAACTCATCCTGATGATTTTCTGTTGCAATAGGAATATTTACTAATTAACCAGGTAAGAATTTCTCAGTTCTTGCAGGGTATCCCATTCAATTTGTTCAGTAAATCACATTCAATCCCACTAAGTCACTATAGTTTCCCAGGATTTGTGGTTTTTTTATCCGTCTGGTAAACGTATCTTGCAGGGTATCTGGCAGCTTGGCGCTAGGTGCGCATTTTCTACAGCGGCTATGGCATCGAAACCTACGAGAGTCTGGCCGCAGTGGCCAGTGACGCGAAATTTGCTCCTGGGATTGGCTTGCTACGGGGGGAGGTGTATCCCATGTTGGATCCGTGGTTGTTTTCACGACAATATACCCAAAGCCATAATATGGAGGTTTCCTAAAATCTAGGTCAATCTTGGATGGCTAGTTTAATCCTAACTAGTCTTTTGGTATCAATGGGATTATCTACTAAGCGGCTAAGAATTTGTCATTTTTGAAGGGTATTTGGCTAATTGGCCATGAAATGAGGGTACCCCGAAATCAAATCATCCATTTATAGATGGAATGTTCATGAAATAAACCATCCAGCTATTGGGGATCCCCCATTGTAGGAAACCTCCATATATAGGACATATCCCAGTCGACCAATGTGGCGTCCACTTGCTAAATGGGATGCATACCGTGGCCCCGTGGCATAATTTTGGGATCCTGTAAACTAACAGTTTGCTATGGAACATCACATTCTTTTAATAGGTAAATAATCTGAAATATACCCTCTGGTAAATAAACTTGTAGACCCTGAAAATCACCAATTTTTAATGGTTTCACTAGTCTTCCAACCCCTGTCTGCCAGGGTCGAACTGTTAATTTACCAGAGGGTAATCTAAAGGGACCATGCTCCATGCCTACGTTAGTTTACTTTGAAGCATTCCAAAGATCGCAGCTACCCAGGCGTCATCGGAGCAATCAAATGATCTCATGATTGTCAGATTGGTTCTGCTGGTTGACTGGTTCATGTCGACGAATTGGTTGTAAACAGATCTTTAAAGACACTTAATATGTATCTATGTATCTATACATATTAATATCATATAGTCTTATACAGATATTGGGTTTCACATATATATATATATATATATAACATTATACATATATATACCGAGCTTTATATATATATATTATATATATACATACAAGACATTTACACATCCCTCCCATCATCCCAATCAAGGCCGTGATGTCCTACGCCTTCGTAATGATCTACGCCACGCTGCACACCCGCAGTCCGTTCCTGGCCTTGGTCGGGCTCTTCCTGGTGATGCTCTCCATCCCAGCCACGCTGGCGGTCTTCGTCTTGGTCTCAGGATCCGGTGAATTCAGTTTGATGATGCCTGGTTGGAAAATTGGTCATTGGCCATTTCAGGACCCGATTTATTGGAGGTGCCTACCATATGTAAGGCCTATTTTTTAGGGCTAATTTTCAGGGAATATACACCCAAAATATAGCCAAACATATGGTACGTTTACGTACCTCCATCAGTTGGATCCTGGAGATCTCCCATTGAATTGGTGAAGAAAAGATTGGGCTTGGGATTTTTAGAAGATGGGATTATTATGAAAGTATATGGGTATGGATCAATACCTATTAATACCATTTTTAGTGGGATGAA